ATTGCTGTGACTGGAGTTCAGACGTGTGTTTTCCGACAGGGCTGCCTAATAGGGGCTCTGATCCTGTTTTCTGGGTTGTCGGTGCACCCCCTCCTAATACTCATCGTCTCCATGGAGTTAGCCATCCTCATCTTCTTCTTCGTCGTCTACACCTTCGCCATCAACAGATACATGCCCTTCATCCTGTGGCCCGTTTCCGTAAGTGGGGGAAGTGCCGGCAGCCGACTGTATTCCCGAGGGAATTAATTGTGGGAGACACACGCCTTCCCTCCCATTTCTATGTCCCGTCCTAGTGGGGCCAGCATGGTGACAGCTGGGGTTGGGGATAGTTAGGCGGGAAATGCTGTAAGCAAACTGAGCAGCGGGGGGTGGGGGGAAGGGGGGAGGCAGGGCAGGAGGAGGCCAGGAGCTGCTGCTCACAGCTGAGATAAGGGAGATCACCCAGGAAGGCACCCACTCCCAGAATTCAAAGAAGAAAATTAGTCTCCCCAAAAATCAGTACGATAAATTGAGAGTTTTAAAACATCACTTCTAAAACAGCCTAAAGTCTCCCGTGATTTATTCCTTAAAAAGATGCTCAGTTCAAGGCAGTGGTTCATGGGACATAGATGAGCAAGTTAATGTAACAGGGAACAGGAATCTTCCCCCAGGAGGCTGTTCCTGTAGGTGGAATGCTAAGTGCTAGATGCAGCTCCTGAGGACATAGGCACAGAATTATGAAGGATACATGAACTTGAGTCCCTAACTACCACCTGCATATTCATAGAGCATATTGACCTAATTCCTGGCCAGTTGCTGAAATTTAGGCCCCACACTCACTGCACAGCCACAGGGTGCTTCCAGGGTCCTGGGCTCACTGTTTCACTCACTCTACGCAGGATGCAACTGGGCCTCAGAAACATAACTAACAGAAGGGCTAGAACGCCAAGAATATGAAATAAAAAAACAACTGTCTGAAATAAGAAATATGCTGAAAGTGATTAAAGACATCAGTCAGAGTCTGAAGAGAAGATTAAGACACTAGAGGTCAAAATAGGGTTTTTAAAAATAACTTTTTATTGTGAATTGAGTGAAGGTTTACAGACAAGATCGTCAGCTTTACATTCAACAAATCCTATGCTTTGTTTCATTTGAGTGATTGCAGTCTCCTCCCTGCAACAATAGTTATCCTTCTTCCTTCCCTAGTTCCATTCCATCCAACTTCCCATCCCTTCTCAAATTTGTTCTTAGGTTCTAAATGTTGCCCTTTTAATTTTGAGTGATTGACCATTCCATTATTCACGGTGAAGCATACCTTACTAGTGTTATTGTACTTCACCTATAAACCTACCTACTGGTTGGCTAAAAGTTAGGCCACAAGGGTGAGTTCCCTTCCAGATCAAAAGGCTGGTCAACAGTCATAGTCTCAGGTTCCTTAGGCCTTTTTCAGAAGTAAAGTTGGTCTTTGTTTTAATGATTTTGAGTTTTGGTACACATATTCTGCCACTCTATCTGGGACCTTCTAATGTGATCCCTTTCAGAGCAGTTGGGAGCCGTAGCTGGGCATCATCTAGTTCTTCTAGTCTCAGATTCATGAAGACAGATGCTCACATGTTCTGTTAGTCTGTTGGACTGATTGATTCCAAGCATCTTCAGTGCTTATCATTCTTCTTTCTTCCACACATGGAGAGACCAATAGCTGCACCTTAGATGGTTGCTCATGAGCTTTTAATATCCCAGACACTACTCACCAAAGCAAGGAGCTCTGGTAGCGTAGTGGTTACGAATCGGGCTGCGAACCTTAAGGTCAGCGGTTCGAAACTACCAGCCGCTCCACGGGAGAAAGATGAG